CAATTCATGACTGCTACCCAAGCCTCGCTGCGGAATTTGGAGAATCAATTCGCTCAATTCGTTGTGAATCAAGAGAAACGCCCGCCGGGAGCATTGCCATCGAATACGGAAGATCCTCGAAATCAAAAGTTCGAGACGTGCCAAGCTATCGATTTCAAGATCAAGAAAAAGGAAGAAATTCAAGTCAAGCCGCAAGTCACTGTAGCCGAATGGGTCGAGCCAATCCCATATCCACAAAGATTGCTAACGAAAAAGATCGAGGACGAGACGTGCCAAGCAGTCACCTTGAAGAACGGGAAGCAATTGGAGGAAGCCCCACGAAAAGAGAAGAGAAACACGGTAATCGAGAAGCCAAAAGTAAATGAGGAAAAAGAATCAACTCATGAAGAGCCACCATCAACGGTGCCTTCACAAGCCCATCCAATTCCTTATCCTCAAAAGTTTATAATGAAGAAGCTCGATGCCGAATATCAAAGATTTTTGGACAAGTTGAAGGAAATTCGCATAAATATTCTTTCATTGAAGCACTTCAAAAGATGCCAAAGTGGGTGAAGTTCCTCAAGGACCTCGTGAAGAAAAGTAAGAAATTGCAAGGGAACGAGATGATCCAACTCACGGAGCAAATTAGTGCAATTCTTACTCGGCCTCTTCCACAAAAACTCGGCGATCCAGGTAAGTTTACTATTCCTTGTACTATAGGAGGTAAAAATTTTAGGTCACTCATTGATTTAGGTGCTAGCATTAATCTTATGCCTTATTCCACTTACAAAAATCTTGGGTTATGTGAGATTGAACCAACGGCTATAACCCTTCAATTAGCCGATAGGTCTTTAGTTTACCCAAAAGGTATTTTAGAGAACGTGCTAGTGAAAGTGAATAAATTTATTTTCCCTGTGGATTTCGTTATACTTGATATAGATGAAGATAGGGAGATACCTCTTATTCTAGGAAGGCCGTTTTTAGCCACGTTGAAAACTCTAATTGATTGCGCTAGTGGTGATCTTACAATGACAATGCACGATCAAACGATCAAATTTAACGTTTTTAGCGCTAATAAAAATCCATGTGATAATAATGATTGTTATGCGATTGATCTTGTGGATTTTACAAATCATGACGATTTTGACGTTTTGATCTTAGACCATGGGAAAGGATCTTTGAGTTCAGGAGATGGTGGCAGAAAAGATAGTCGGACGGAGCAAGTTTATTGTGCAAATTCAATTTCAACACCTCTAAGAGATAGTCAAAAGAGTTGGGGTGCTAACGGTGATGAACGTGCAATGAGGATGAGACCACCAAAAAAATCAAACGAGCATCATGGGGGAGAGGAATTCAATTGCCAAGTGACTTCGGTCACGTTAGCTTGAACAAATAAGCAGACAAAGTCCGGCTGAAGACTGTAAACTTAGCGCTTCTCGGGAGGCAACCCGAGCTTTCGTTTTTATTTTTTTATGTTATTTTAAATTTTTAGTTTTGTTTTTATTTTATTTTTCTAAAAAAAAAAAAAAAGTTTCAGGGGCACTAATAAGAAGTTTTTATTTTTCAGGGACCTAATTGAAATTATTCACACGGCCGTGCAAGAAAAAGGCAGGAATCTCACACGGCCGTGTGAGATTTTGGTGATGCTACTGCCCAAAATCGCAAAAGGGCACGGCCGTGCGGATTTTACACCTAAATCTCGCACGGCCGTGCGAAATTTGAAGAGGCTACTGCCCAATTTTGAGAAAGGGCACGGCCGTGCGGATTTTTCACCTAAATTTCGCACGGCCGTGCGAAAAAAAAAAAACAAAAAAAAAAACAATTTCCATAATTTCAAATCCTCTCTCTCCCCCACTTCGAACCCTAGCCTTCCTTTTTCGAAATTTTCCCTTTTCTTTGACAAATTTCACCGAAAATTTACCAACTACACACATATAATATGTAATCAAGGTGGTTTGTTGTTGATTTGCGCCGGTACCCGAGCTTTCGGATGATGAAGAAGATGGTGACGCTCATGCGCAAGGTGGAGTTGGTGAGCAACCCGACGATGGTCCCGATGCTTAAAAACAGGTGTTTTCTATCCTTAAACTCAGGGCGAATCACATTGAGGGCAATGTGAATTTTAAGTTTGGGGGTGGTTAACTACTTGTGTTCTTTTATGTGCGCTTTATTTGTGTTTTAATTTTTTGTTTTAATTTGCATGCATTAGGTTTTATTCGTTTCTATTGTTTTTCTCGTTTTTCGGAAAAAAAAAAAAAAAAAAAAAAAAAAAAAAAAAAAAAAAATTGCTTGAGTCGAATGCATCTATGATTTATGATGATGAGAGATGATCAATGTTTGATGATGAAATTGCTTGTTTTATGTGATAAGGATTTGATGTTTGTTTAGCTTTCTATTCAACGGGACTTAGAAGCGAATTATTGCTAGGGAATCACATTTTGTGCATTGCTTTTGTTGAATGTTTTGTATTCTAAATTTCGAATTAATTTGTGCTAGATCATGCTATGTTCGGTTTTAAGACTCACCTTAGGAAATTTATGATACGAAGTATTGAGTAGTAAGTGATTTGGGATATGATTTGGGCCTTCTTCGATATTAGTAGAGTAGAATAATTTGGTGAGTATTTGGAGTCAAGCATATGCATGTAAGTATAAATTTTCTCTATTTTTAACTTGCAAATATTGGATACTTGAAGCAATTGTATGATTTGTGGTTTTTGGTAATGGTGAGTGACTAAGTGTTGTTGAATTTTGAGCTTGCGAATGCCTAAGAATTGTCATTATAATTACAAGTTCTGAAAACGTGAAGTTGGCCATTGATCTATGTGATGAGATGTAATAGTTGTGTTATTTGCTTATCGGTAGATTTTGCTTGAGGACGAGCAAAAGTTCAAGTTTGGGGGTGTGTTAAGTGTATATTTTTACACTTTATCGTATCTTTTTATTTGGGCTTTTGGTGTGTTTTAATGATAATTGGTGCTTAAAAAGTTGATTTATTGTATTGTAGGTGCAAATTGACGAATTGGCAACTTATGGGGTGAAAACTGCAAATTCGGAGAAAAAGTGGGCCAAAAGTGAAAAAATCAGAAATTCTGGAGAATAAAGAACCGGACGGCCGTCCGGATTTTAAAGCCTATTCTCGCACGGCCGTCCGGATTGACGTATTGGCGCAGTGAAAGGATTTTAATTGCACAAGGAAACTGCCTTCTTCCCCAAGTTCTTCACCCTATATAAGACCAATCCAAGCACACAATTGAGGATCCCTTTTTGACGCAATTTCAAGAGCAACAAAGCAATAACGAAGACGAAGAATTCGAAGACTCCAAGCATAGATTTATCGTCTATGATTTATTTTATTTGCGTTTTTCCTTTAATCATGAGTAGCTAAATTACTTATTTCTAGGATTTTATTTGGAACCCTATGTGGGATTTATAAACCCTTTTCTATGATTTTATGCAAGTTTTAATTCCGGATTATTTCTTCTACTTGTTTTATTAAGTGCATGAATTTGATCACCTTGTGTGCTTTTATGTTATTGTTAATCGCATGAATCGGAAGATCGGGTTAATAATTAGAACTGTGGTAGAAGAGCCTTTGTTGTATTAACATAGGAATATAGTTAATCTCTTAGGCAGCCATTATTGAGATTTGTGCTTAATGTTGTGTTCTAGAATTCATTGCATAGGAATATAGTAATTGAATCTAGAGTATTAGAATCGTAATACACGCGGAAGCGGGTTATGATTATTTTAGCATCTCAGGTTAATAATCCGGGTTAATTGCTTGCATAATTGAAGGAATTGGGGGAATAATAATCACATAGGGGGGAGAATAAAATCCTAGGCTTGCTTATCTTGATTAAATCTTCGTTTTAAATTGCTTTCTTGTTTTTGCTTGCTTTTAATTTAGTTTAATTTAGTTAATTCTCTCTAAAATTCGACTGTGTAGGGTGGGCTTGATAATAATTGGTAGAATTTAGCGTCTAGGATTAGATAATTAAATATTCCCTGTGGGTTCGATATCCGGACTTTTAGTCCACTATATTACTTGTACGATACGTGCACTTGCGTGTAGGTTTTCGACCAACAGAGGTGCACACGGAGAGAAAAAGAGAGAGATGTGCTGGTGAAGAGAAGTGAGGGGAAACATAGGGTTTAAAGATAATTAAGGGTAATATAGAGATATCCCTAAAATTCGGATTTATGGTAAATTGAAATATATAATGAGGGGGTTTTCACTAATATGCAAAATGATGTTATATCCATCCTAATATAACTAAATGTATTGGGGGGTTTTCACTAATAATCCCTATTTTTTAAACAAGAAACAAATAAAAAAACCGAAAATGAAAATTAAAACAATACATCAAACTAGTGGATAATGGGTAGAGAATAGTTGGAGGGTAAATTTGAAAATATAAAAAAAATAATGGGTCTCTCACTAATAAAATTAGTTTTAGCCCTTGCGCAACACTAATTAATTTTGATTTTGATTTTGATTTTGATTTTGATTTTTTCCACATAATTATTTATGTATTTGCTCCAAGGTTCTGCAAATCGGACCTATTTACTGCTCGCGATTATTCATTCACCGATTTTCTTCCGTCAACTCGAAGGTACGATTTCATCGATTTTCATTTTGTGTAATTGCATTTGATTATTGTTTTTGTACTTGAGATTGATGAAAACCCTAGGGATAGCTTTATTTTCTGTTGTTGATTGATTGTAGTTTGCCGGGCTGCCATATTCATGATTATGTATCAATTTATGTGTTACACATATTTGACTCATTATCCCTATTTTGACTCATTAATAGCGTATTTTATACTTTATCTATTAGACTCCACTAAAAACAAAACATCTCATAATCTACATGATCGACTACATCTATCTATCTATCCATATATATATATATATAAACACCCCATGAACGTACAGTACTTATTCGCAACTCATAAATAAACACGAGAGAGAGAGAGAGAGAGAGAGAGAGAGAGAGAGAGAGAGAGAGAGAGAGAGAGTATGGAGAATAATCATCAAGATTATGAATCTGCGTACCAATATCCACCAGGTTATCGATTTGCACCAAAGGATGAAGAGCTAATCGCTGAGTACTTGGTCAAGAAGATCAACAATCAGCCGATCCCCATTGACGAAATCAGAGTTGTCGATTTTTACAAATATAATCCTGATACTTATTCAGGTTTGTTCTTTAACTTCATTACTAGCTAGATCGATATTTCTTTAATTTTTCGTTCTTGTGTTCATTATATGATTATGTTGATGAGTTAGGGTTTACTCAACGATCTTCGCCTAGGGTTTTATTAGTTACGTATATTTCACATGCATGCATGCATGATCTCCTTTCTTTTATATATATTTATTTATTTATTAGTAATTTTTTGCTTTGTTTTTATGATCAGATCTAGTTGCGTTAGGGTTTAACTAATGATCTTCGTGTAAATATGTACCCTGAACTTCGTCTAAGCAGGATATATCATTCCTGATAAATTAGGGTTCCTAGGCGAGTTTTAAGAATTCTTGAAAATAGAACCCTATTTGTATTGTATAATATCACATAAATTCATTCTAATTAACACGATTGAACAAGATTTTTTTATTAGGGGTTAAGACTTTTTTAGAAAAACGACTTAAATCTTGACGAAATTAAGGTAAACCAAAAGTTTACGGGGTTCAAGGCAAATCCCACACTTTTTTTTTTTTAAATAGTCATAGAAATATTATTGAACAAGTAAATATATGTAACATATTTTTAAATATAATAAAATAAAATATAGTATTTCAACTTATCAGAACTCTTTGAAGTTAGAGATAACAACGTAGATTATTAAAAAAATGCAAATATTGCGGAGGAAAAAGTTTAAAATCTTGAAATATGTGCATGTTCTGGTCTAGGGTTTGATTGATTAAATTTCTACATGCAAATATATTGAACGTGAAAATTAACCCATGTGTTTATATATATAGGTGGATATCCAACACTTGGAGATAATGAATGGTATTTTTTCACATTGAGGAATAAAAAAAACCCGAAAGGATCGAGGCCCGATCGGACGGCCAACAACGGATACTGGAGGGCTACCACAGCAGATACACCTATTAAAAATATTGATGGTGTCACTATTGGATCAAAGAGGTCTTTGAATTTCTGGGAAGGATTACATCCAAATAGGTCAATTAAGACTGATTGGATTATGCACGAATTTATTGCTGCTACTAATAATCAACAACCTTCTCGAAACAAAAGGGACAGAAACGACACGAAGGTACGTACGTGTATATATATATATATATATATATATATATATATATATATATATATATATATATATATATATATATATATATATATATGAAAATAAACCATGTGTGTCTAATGATTTGATTGTTAATGAGTGTAATTGATCATTAACTTTCTTTTTTATTTATTTGAAATTTGCAGTTTGACGATTGGGCGTTGTGCCGTATTTAGGGGTGAAAGTCGGATGGATCGGATCGGAATTAGCCTTTTCGGAAAATTTCCAAAAAAAATCGGAAGTACAAAATCGATTCCAATTCCAATTCCAAAAATTTCGGAATCTAAAAATTCATTCCAATTCCAAAAGACCCGGAAATTTCGGAATTTCGGAAAAAAATCGGAAATCACATAAGCTTTAAAATTTCAAAACTTAACCCAAATTTTCTAGGATGTTCATATTTTTTAAAAAATAAGAACATCCACATCGATAAAAGTAAAACTAATAATTACTAAATTTCAGTTAAAAAAATAAATAAATATAAACACAACATAATATCCAATAAAACTTTTAACAACAATTCATTATGTCAAAATCCTAAAACAAAACTTATAGGCGTATTGTTTTGGAAAATAAGTATAATATAAAATATATTATTTATAGGTGTATTTTTCGGAAAAAAATCGGAAATAATATCGGAATTAAATCGGATCGGAAATCGGAAATTCCAAATATATTTTATATAATTCCAATTCCAATCCAAAAAAATCGGAAAAATTCGGAAATCGGAATTTCGGAAGTCGGAATGAAAAAAGTTGTTCCAAAATCGGAACTTTTCGGATCGGAACCGGCGGAAATTGAAAATTCCGTTCCAACTTGCACCCCTAGCCGTATTCATAAGAGAGCTACGAAATTGGATAAAAAAGCAGTCGCTGCACACGGCCGCCAATTTGATCAAGAAGTTCAACAATTAGTTGCACCAGCACCAGCACCAGCAAATCTACTTCCCGGTTTCGACATTCGTGTGCAGTCAGAAAATCTACTTGCACCAGCACCAGCACCACAGAATCTACTTCCCGATTTCGACATTCGTGTGCAGTCAGAAAATCTACTTGCACCAGCACCAGCACCACAGAATCTACTTCCCGATTTCGACATTCGTGTGCAGTCAGAAAATCTACTTGCACCAGCACCAGCACCACAGAATCTACTTCCCGATTTCGACATTCATGTGCCAGAATATCTACTTGCACCAGCACCAGCACCAGCACCAGCACCAGCACCACAGAATCTACTTCTCGATTTCGACATTCATGTGCCAGAATATCTACTTGCACCAGCACCAGCACCAGCACCAGCACCAGAGGGCGAGTTGCCGTCGGATTTGGCATTATATTGGAGTAGTATATTGGAGGGATTACCGATTGAAGAAGGAAAAGAACCCGCAAGAGAGGCGGCTGATTTGCCGTCAGAAGATTCAGCCAAGGAATTTGCAAACGATGATGCGTTTTGGAGTAGCGTTTTGTATGATGATGAAGAAGCTCAGGGCGAGGCTGCCTATGCGGTCGCCGAAAAGACAGACATTTATAAGTTTTGAGTGTTCATAATCCAAATCGAAGAGATCATCGATCACTTGAGTCGTTGTTGTTGAACCGTAATAATTCATGTTTTCTTAAGTATAAATCCAGTGTAGATTCGAAGATTCAATTCCATGATGTAAGATATGTTGGAATTATTTCAATAATTATGTGGGCTCACATATGTGACGTAAATGTGTATGGCTATCTTAAAGAAAGTCCAAATTAATTGTGATCTAATAAAGGTTATTGGGTCAATTTTGCTGAATTTTATTAAATTTCGCATTATGTGAAATCTAGTTTTTTATGGATTTGGTTCGCTAAGTGATGTCCGGATATTGATTATGAAATTCAATACAATTATGAAATTAGATTTTGAAATTTCAATTTCACCCCAGATTTAGGGTTTCTGTAACTTCAATTTGGTCCCCGAAGTTTGGTTATTCTTGATTTTGACTGGGGTCCATTTGAAAATATTTACAAATCTGATTTAGGGCCCAAAGCTTCCGAAAAGTTCATCTAAGTCCCCAAATTTAGAGTTTCTTTCAAAACTGCAGTACATTTTTTGCAAATATATTTCCACACACAAATTAAGTGTTTCTGAATCTCTGGTCCGTTTTCTCTCAAAGACTTTTCTTTCGAAATTTCAATTATGTCCTTTAAGTTGTAAGATTTTCTGGACTCGGGGCAAGCGCAATTTTTAAGGAATAAAAAGTTGATTTAAGGTTTTTTGGGCTGTTTAAAATATTTCAATTATTTTGAGGGACCGAACTAATATGTGAATTCTTTTATATTCATTTAAGGTTTTGTTTGGTCAATAAAGTGAAATTCATTTTGAATTTCAAATTCGGTTTTCTAATGTTAATTTGGGAAATTTTCAAATTTTAAAGTTCATGCATTATTAGGCTTAAATGTTTTAATTAATGGGTCGAAATAAGGATATGAATTAATTTATTAATTCAATATGTTTCTGACCGATTATAATTCAAACATTAACGAATCAAAATATGAATAATGGTTATTAGTTAACCAAGTAAGTTTTGATTCATTCGGGATTTGAGTCGAAACCCCTGTTTTAAGTCTAAATTGAGTTACTAATATAGTCCAAATCCATATAAACGTAGATTTATTTTTAAAATTTATTTTGGCCTCTAAATTAAAATAAGGTTGAATTGTATGCCCCACATCATCTTTAGCTCAAATTCAATATAAAAATGGATTCGAAGTTTTCAATTCATACTCATTTTTTATGAATAACCATATTACTGAGTTTGATTCGAAAACAATACAGCGAGGCAACCTTAGTGTTGGATACACACTGTTAGCGCTCAGGTGATGTCTTTAGAGCCTTAGCGTTAAACAACGACTTTAAATTTCTGAATAATTTTTTGGGTACATCTAATGACTTGTTATTAAGTTGTCTGACTTTTAAGATAACTGATTGAAGCATGAAGCCACCAAAGTGACCTCTCTGTGGAGATTAGCTTATCGAGAATGTTAAGATGTTATGTGTATTTAAATTCATGCGAATATTTAACTATACCCAAAGGTAGGTTGATATTTGGCCGAACCACATGTGCAACTGTGGTAATAAGTGCGTGACAATTGTTAAGTTTCCATGTGAATAATAAGTGACATCCAAATATGGGCTCATTATTTGACAAGATTTATCGCTAGCACTTGATTACTACAACAAGAGTGTCACTTACAGTTAATATTACTGTCCAAAGACTTGATATTAATGTTGTGCTAGGCATCTTGAGATGTACTCCATAATTATTTAAAATTGAAAAGTCACCTTTGGATTATAATGTCAGTATATTGGTTTTATTTACGTTATCTATTTAATTTATTTATATGCTTACACATTATCTGCCTATAACACTTTTGTGCTTAATTGCACAAATATTTGTATTATTACCTATTATGGTGCATAGACCTTGATTTTTTATTTTGAATAGAACAATAGAAGAACCTAGAGTATATCGTCGTTCTATTTATAAAATTTAAGATCATTACGTGCATCAATTTTAATATTTTCTTTTGGGTGTAAGGTTTGATTAGGGGCTATGTACTAGAGGGTTCCTTAAGGATACGTTTTATTTGAAAATAATAAAACTGAAACAAATGAGATTTTGACATATCTTGTTATAATAATATATATAGAAAGGAACATAAATGAGCACACATTAAGTAATAGTGGCTATGTTTGTTAACGTTTTCAAATTCTTTTCACACTTTCCCCGAAATGAAAATTATGTTTCTACACTATTTTCAGAAACTTTCCCCAAAACAAATTCAAATATTTCTCTCTCTAACAAACATGATGTGACCGCTACAGTGAAAATTGTCTTCACTAAAATACAAAATCAAATCACTTTATCTTTGAAATTCTTCTTCCAAAATACATTTTCCCAACACCTTTCAGACATGATTTGACTTGCTACAATACAAATTATCTCCTCTCAAAACACAAACAAACTTTATTTAATTTTCAAATTCTTCTCCCAAAACATCTTTCTCCAAAATAAAATGGAAATGGAAGCTCAAAAGCTTACCAAACATAGCCAGTCTATTCTTATAGAACTTTAGTTAGTGTGGTTTCGCTGACTTAAAAGTGGATATGGTTTAATTTATTTTTCTCCGTGAACGGTCAATATAAGGTTTGTCGTAAAACATAAAGAATAAAACTTTGACCGTAAACACGAAGAATAAATAATTAAGGAAGAAAAGACTAAGTGCTCGATTGTAATGTTCCAGCTACACAAATATTCGGAACTTTGCAAAACTAGGGTTGGACAATCTTATTGTTGCGGAATTTTACCTCAATTTGAGGCTTTGTGTAGGAAATTTGGGGGTAGGGTTCTGCGTGCGGGTTCAACATATTAGGAGTAATGAAAAAGGAATGCGCGCTGGTGAGATTGAAATAGAGGCAGAGAATGACGTGCCACTTCACGTCATATTTTTCGCCCAGATCAACATAGAGTGTAAGTCATGTTGATGTTTAACGGCCAGATCGCGTCACGTGCGCTACACGTGATATTTCAATCCAAGTTGACTAACGAAGTTGACGGAAAAACATAAATTGCTAAAACTGGTAAGTTCGATGACATATTTCACGGACGAAATCTTTTTGGACATAAATCGTTTTAGTGGCAAAGTTCAGGGACATAAAATGTAACTTTCCCTATTTAATTTTATTTTTTATCAAAATTAATTTGTCAAACTTTGTCTTAACCAACTTGTTATCTATAATTATCCATTGCTCTATTTTATTTCTACTAATCAGCCGAATAGGAACAACCCTACTAATTTATTGATTTATTTCGACCAAAAGTCAATTCAATGTTAGTACCATAATTTAACTAAAAAAAAATTGTTGCCCAGCAAGACCTTGTAGAAAGTTTAATGTCAATGTCATCCAGAAATTAGGATACACACAATAAAAGGTAATATGTGCAAATTCCTTAGTATCAATCAACATTCAATAGCAATCAATGGCTGAGATCTCACCAGATACATACAAACAACATCAAAGTACAGTACATACAAACAACACAGAGCAAAAGGCTAATAATACCAAAATAGACTAACTATTCAATCAAACCAATAGTCACTGTTGTTGTAATCATGGTAGTGGCTTAATCAATTTTGAGTTATGTAAGGCCCTTTTGGCCCAACCCTGACTGTTATGCTCTACTGATCTTGCAAGTGCATCACAAGCTTCAGCAAGTTCGTTTTCCGCAATAATGGGATCGTCTCTTTTAAGGGCAAATATTATCTCGACGAAATCTTGGTCTACATAAAAGTGATAGACATTGCTAAAAACCTGTCGAATATCCACAAACGACTATGTATCAAAAAACATATCCAAAGAAGAAAAATAAATCGAAAAAAGAAATGTTACTTCAATTGTTCTCACCCTTTTCAATTTCGAATACACTGCACCCTTCACACTAGGGAACTTCGAGACCAACTTAAAGATGAATAAACCTTTATCAGAAAGAGAATCTTTTACAGCCAAGAAAAAAGATTCCTCGACAAAGTCTGCCTCTGGACTGATTAAACCAGAACTGCGCAATAAAACAAGTCTGATGAATAAAATGATGACAAAAAAAAATAAAATGATTTTTGATTACCTTGAGTCTGATGAATCCACATCAATTATAAGTAGATCAACTTTGAAAGAGTTGTTTCCTTCTGCATGAATTACGGTGTGCAACCATACAATTACTTCTCGCCGAGCAACGAGCATGACATTTTATCCTTTTATATTACTACAACTAGTTGTTGCTACTTTACCTTCCTCTGAATTTGCTTTCTCTTTGACAAACTTAGTTGCATCAGTAATATGTACCTGAAATGCTTGCAGTTGTTCAGAATTTTATATAAGCAGGAAATCGTTAACTAATCTTTTCTCTTGTTTTGAGAACAAAATTCGAACTCTTTTACCTTAAATGCAAAATGATACGAAAGAGTTTATGTATTGCATTTAATTATGATACAACTAAATGAAATGTGGATGTTCGAACCGAAATCTTTTCACACCCTTTTTGCATACTCCACTTTCTGTTTAGTTGGTACAAATGTCAGAAAGCAGAATATCACCTTTAAACGTTCATCTTCTATAAAACCAAAATATTCGCTAGCAACATTCAGAACCACGGGGTCCAACTCAACGACCTGTCAAATTAAGAATTAACATGAGGAGAAGACGATTGAAAAATTTGTGATTAATACATACAGCCAGAATTTCGTTTATACCTCAATCCTTAGAGTAGGCAGGCAACTTCTCATAAACATTGGAAGTGTTCCTGATCCAAGACCAATGATCACTGTTTTGACCTGGAAAAGTGGGAAATTTTCAGTTCCATGCATCGTTTTGAAACTGAACCCGTGAATCAAATGCTTCAAGGTTAAAGGGAGCCGTTCGATGAACATATCAATTTTCAAAAGGTCATATAAAGTAAAACATTTTGTAATACTATTCCCCCGTCTCTTGCACAGACCACCCCACCCCCGGACAACAACGAACGATGATGATTATACATATATTCATTTCCATCACATGGACATCTGTATGAAAAATGAATCATAATATAATAATATGGACATTCATCATCAATGGCAATAGACCAATAGTAATTTGTTGTAATTTACTCACGAGTGATGCAGGTTTTTGCCTCTATTTTTTGGAGAATCGTTTAAGCTAAACAAGAAGATGTAGTAATTAGTATGTGTTTCAAGAGAAAGCTGATGGCTCACCAGTCCACCAGCTGAGGTAGTTCTTTTTGAATGAACAGAAAACAACATTAATCCAGCAATAAGCCCCTGGTGGTATCCCCTTACCGTAACTTTGCGCTCAAATTTCGGTTGACCACTTGATGCTGTCCCACATGAAAAAGACGATCAATTGTTAATGAAGGTGAATAAAATATTGCTATAGGACATGCAGTTGATACTTGGCAGCCAGAGATACTTTTATAAGAGTTTCAAAGAGTGGAAAAATGACATAAACAGCATACTGTCGATGAACCAAAAGATGCAAGTTGTTCTCTTCATTTCAGTTTTTAAGTAACATCGTTTCAGGAAATATTGAAATCGAAGTAAAGCTATCTAGTTTCTCAAAATTTAACCAACAAAGAGATAGATATCAGACATTCACTATGAGAACCAGATGAGTGTGAATCGATTTTTTTTGGTTTTCCTTTCTTGCGGGTTCTGAAAGCTGCCGGCCCTTTCTTATCCTCAACTTGACCAGAAGTTTCATTTGGTTCTTCTGTGGATAATAAAACTTCAGAATGCACCCAACTCTCAGTTCTTTCAAAACAAAAGCGACGGAATATGACATGCTTAGGTGGATGCATATGTAACATCACGTCTTCTACATAGATGGTACCGCTCAAGGCAGTTTTAACCTGGATGAACCAAAATAGACGGATTTTTAAAAGGAAAAGAGGAGATGGGAATACATAAAGAGCAGCAGCAGATATGATATAGGCAAGAAATAGTAGTTCTTCAACCTCGTGCACAATATTCCTTTGCTTAACCCCATCAACCAAATCATCTTCACATGTAGAGCTACAAAAGATCCACTTGATAATGAGTTCTGATTTTGGATATCTTACTAGTTACTACTGGATAAGTAGATGCTGATTGGATACTTACGCAACATGATTTATTTCATAACCGGTTTCCACTGGGGTCAATTGCTTGACAAAACAAGAGATACCCTTCTGAAAAAGGAAACTTATACAAATTTAAGAATCCCTCAAATATACAGCTCAAAATTTAGATTAGCTATGGAAATAAATTTACAATTACCACTATATCGTCCCAGGTAACACTAGAATGACTAGAATCCAGTACAATCTAAAAATCAATAATCATAAATATGTGAGTGAAAAATGAAATATGAAGAGACAAGATACAGAAGAATGTACACTATATTAAATCGGTGGTTGGAAAGATATACCATCAACAGTCGAGAAGCTTTTAAGGTTCCAATAAGGAACCACTTTGGGAGTTCTATTGCAAGCATCTTCTGGCAAGTTTGCGCCTGAATTCCAAACCTCAGTCATATAACAGTTGGACTGGTAACAAACATATAAGTACTATATGAACTATATCGAAACGTAAATCTAAAACTATTAAAAAGAAAGGCAAAAGATTACCACATATTAAATACAGATATAAAGAGGAAAAACAGACTCAATGTCGTCCAGGTTGAAATAGAAATGTAACTGACAGGAAGGAGATAGAGCTTGATTATTTAGCAAATAAACACAATTAGCTATCATTTTAATAGGGTTTATCCAGAAGAAGAGGATGCTCGTATTTTATTAATATACTCGTTATGCACAACTTCTTAAGCAGTTTAAGTATGTCTATCTTCAAAGTTTCCGGAACTCAGAAGAGCATTAGAATCAGCTGTAACTAAAACGACTAGTGAAGGGCTAAGGGGAAGAAAAGTACTAACTTTCCGAAAAACTACTACTCGAAATCGATCGGAGAAAGGTGCAAGACCCCGTTCAGCATCAAGAAGTACACCAGTATAGAAAAAACGGGATACTCCCGGTTCACCTAAAAAGAGCTTTACAGCACGACCAGGTTCAATCTCTCGAATGTCTCCTTTCACCCCTTGCTTCAAGTCTTCAAGTGAGTACCATATATCAGCACCGTTGGAGTACTCTGCACGAACAGTATTTTCTCTTTCAAGTGCTTCAAATACTTTTTGAACCTATAACATGTTCAAAAAAGTAAAATTTTTTTCTTAGCTTATATCATCTGACAAAAAAGTAAAAATAATCCGACGTGCATGCTCTTTTTTTTGTTCAAACGAATTCAAGTTGTTTCCTTCTTTTAAAGAGGAGCATGGATAAAAAGAAAAGGTGCTTTCACCTGATAACCGTGGGATTCTACAGAACATTCATCCATGAATGATGTTACCTGAGAAACTACAGTTAAAATATATTTCTCTGCGACCAACATAAATGTATGCTGTTTGATGGTTCCAGAAGATGGTTCTTGAGCAATGGCATAAAGATTGACTTTCCACCCAAATCGAAACTTCCGAAAAAGTAGACCTGAGAGACTCATATGATTGAAACGAGGCATAAGGGTTGAATTTCAACCAAAAAATCAGCACATGAGATACTGAATAATCGGGAGGAACAATACCTAGTACATGAGGTTCTGCCAAGGTGAGACAAATATATTTTCCTCCAGCTTTTAACAGTCTTTTAACCTGTTAACGAGTCAAACTTTTGGACCACAACAAGTAAGAAGATCGAAATTGTGTCATTATAAAAAAATACTATCATAAACCTCAGATATATATAGTATTCCTGATCTGGAGTCAAGCTCAGATTCCATCAGAGCATCCAATCCTCCCTTATCGACGATGGCATCAAAGGTCCCATTTTCAAACTAAATCAATTACAAATCATTAGAAAATGAAATAGATAGAGAAGAGAGTTACAAAAAGTAGAATACGAAATGAGTTCATGATGCTGAGAATAGTTGTTAACGACTAGCAGCTAGATGCAATAGCTGAATCAAAAGAAAAGAAGCTCAATGAAAGTAAGCCAGTAAAGTATTCATGCTCAACTCTGTCATGCCAGCGTCATAAGGGTTATCGTAGCAAAATTATCATGAAATAAGTTTAAAAAAAATGATACCGTAACTGCCAATTTAGCACAGATAGCCAATAAAAAAAACGCTTAACTGTGGAGCACTATAATTTCCAACTCATTCACCCTACATCACATTCACATTGTAGACTGTAATTGCACTTATATAGGCTCTTACATGGTGATAAATAAACAAGGCGGCAATTTCTTCAGAATGTGTTCTAGTACATCGGTAATCCTCTGTCCAATAGAATTTATCATAAGTATATTGTCAATTAAAATGCTATATTTTCTGCCTTAACCCCATGCCTTACTCATAAAAGCAAGCCCTGCCTCCATTGACTCGTGACTAATGTCATCGAAGCGAAGTACCTTGTGTCCCTTAACTGACACAACATAAATCGATTCAAAAGATAGTCTAATTCTTGATTTTAGTAATTCACATAAATATGGCCAAAGAGTCGAGCGCAGAAAATTACAGGCTAATTGACACGGAATGATTTGATTTATCATTTGACAGACGAATACCAAACATTCTACATTACAAAACCACCAGATGCAGCTGCGCTGATATCCTAACATATCACCAAATTGGAACATAGATTATCAAAGGTCTTCACGAGCAAGTTAGATCTCCAATCAGTCAGCGTACGGCACTTTATACACATTAATTAAATATCCTAACTACATTAATTAGTCCTCCTACTCAACTACCATGAACATTCTCTTTCAGACAAGACGGCGAACACATTGCAGGCGCCGATTCCTTCCCTTAAAAAATTCCACATCATAAAACCAGATTGGACTCCCTCTCACCCCACATCACCACAATCACAATTTCAATAATCAAACAAATACGCCAGCCCGTATTTCATTATACATACCGGCTGGGAGATTTCGCAATTACAATCAACTGAAAATCTCAGAATTCATTGATTATTACGAATCAAACCCCTGGATAAAATTGCATGGGTTTTGAAACTAATAAATATCACCTAGGGTACAGAATTGGGAATCAGAAAACGAGCTTCGATGTGATTTTTGTGTTCTACCTGAATATTAGTGATGTCCATCACGCGCCACTTCATCGCCGGCCGTCCTCTCAAATTCCTCTTCATCATGGCTGAAATGACCACCTTCGAGAAATCGACATTTATTATATTCCTGAACCCTTCGTCGTACAGATTCTCAGACAGCCTGGAGTTCCCGCACGCCGGAACCAAAATATTCAGCTCCTCCGGCGGCGGCGGAAACGAGAGATTGTTCCTGAGTAAGGTCCGGAGTTGGGGCCAATCGGCGTACCACTCGGAGAAATCATCGACGCCTCTTAAGGTGAAGAAATAGTCCCAGTTATCCTGCTTTGTGAAGCTTCCGAACGCCACCGGCAGCTCCTTTGAAATGTGGATGCAGTTTTCCTCCATTTTCACGCGTGCTGCGTGTTCCTGTGTGAAATGCGGTTTTGTTATCTGAACACTTGAAATAAATAGATTATATATATAGCAGACTGAAGTTAAATATCCCATTCCCGCCCAAACAAACGTAACAAAGTGCAGTTATATAGTTATATACTTATATATTCCAATTCCGGCAAAAAAAATTCTTTTATATATAAGATGAAATAGTTAGTTGCTTTAATTCCTTATTTTCTCGGTTTTATAAATGTTATATTCCGATCAATTACACCGAATAGTTTTGCACCCATCTCTACATGTTAAACATGACCGAGGGTCCGGTTCGACCGGATAAGCCCGAATTGTGTCAACGGGTCGATGAACCGGACCCTAATTAATTACAAAGGGCGGTTTTGCAAACTGTCATATTTTTTTGCAAAACATATCGAACCCAAATTTGAAAAAGATAAATTTAAAAAAAAAATCATAAGGTCTGGTTTTGCAGAATGGGCTGGTCGATCAGGATACCTCCGTCCAATTCAATGAATGGACAAACGAGATCGATCAACTAGCCGTTGACGACCAACGGCCCAAATATGTTGTTGTTGGCCGGCGACTATTAATGAACAAGCCGATCCAGTTAACCGCTAACTCGGCAGGGCTGGTTTTACTAATTTTTCATTCCTCTTATTTTACACCCATAAATATCCAACTGTTTGATTCATTTTTCTTCATCAATTCACCAACTCTCTTTCTCTCTCTTAGAGCAACTCCAATGGAAGATATCAAAATGGAGTATTAAATATTCATTTGATACTTGATATAATACTTTGATACTTCTTGAAAAAAAATTCACTCCAACCACAAGTATCAAATAAATTATCAAATTTTAAGTATATGAATAATTATATTTTTAAATACCACGTGTCAAATAGTGAGAGGTTATTTGGGTGGTTATATTTTTGATACCTCATTTTTCAGAGAGTATTTTTGCACCTCAGTAATTGAGTATCAAAATAATTCTCCCTTTAATGCCTCCATTGGAAAAGGATTTTTTAATTTTAGAGCATCAAAGTGGTAGTTTTTTAGTTTGATACTTCATTTAGTGTCTCCATTGGAGTTGCTCTTATGTTTTTTACTCTCTCTTTAAGTCTCAACATATTCAATTAGTAATATCATTATATACCCGCATGGGTATAGCTCAACTGGTTCCGGGAGCAATAAGTTGGTACAAGGTCCTAGGATCGAATCCTGACAGTCGCAATGTGGGAATTTCAACTCCAATAAGGGTTGGTTCCTTGTGGGCATGCGGTCCAGGTCCGCTACCCTAACGGACCGTTGAGTCACCATGATTTACATTCATCCATCAATACTTGTCGGACCAAGGGATGGCGGCCCTGGCGCGAGAAATTTCGTCTGTTGGTACAAGTAATATTATTATCTCTTTTTAATTTTATTTATATTTTCTTCAAATTCCAATATTTATTATATAATAATTTTATTTATATTTTCTTCAAATTCCAATATTTACTATATAATTTTCAATACCATATTCTTTCAACATGTCTCGTAAAGGAGGTGGTTCTTCCAAATCCAATTCGTAAAGGTGGTTCTTTCAACATGTCACTGTTCAGAGCATGTTATTAATTAACAGAACATTTATGTCAAGTTCTTAAGGGCTACTCGAGAAGTATCACGCCTTCGTTTGTACAACTCCAAGCTATATTTTTGTAACTTCAAACAAGAAATCCTCTCTCGAGTTCATTCCTACTTAACATCAATTTGACAGGGGTGATCAATCAATCATAAGAATTTCTTACTGAAAAATGTAAACAAAATCAAAATAAGGCAAATAAATAACATGTCTAGAAATCAAAATCAATATATACAATGTTTCGTTTCCTTATAAGAAAGTGTTACTTTCGTTACCAACATAGCATCAATAGAAAGAAGACAAGAAATCATAAATTATTGTAAACAAAAGACCTAAGAAAAATCCGAGTCGAAACTTCTCGCGAAGAACAATCGAAAAGCGAAGAAAAATTGAAGAGGAAGCTTCAAATGAATAGGCCCTTCTATTTATAGTGGAATGCAAAGCTTCTTGAGGAAACTTTTGAAAACTAAATAGTTGGTCTCGAAATTTGTGCCCAAATTGCTATCCGGATTGGGCTGATCGCGAACTGCATAGAAGTTATTTGCTACATTGACACAAGCTTAAAATGTCTCCATGTCTAAATCAAATTCAAATGAATGTTCCTTGATACGAGTATAAACTATCTACATGTCCAACCTCGTACACAAAATCAAAGCTTCTCGAAACGAACATAAACTATCTATATATCGAAATTCAAGTCAAAGCTCCTCGATATGAGCATAAGCTACCTAAATGTTTTCTTTATATATAAGAAAAATAAGATGAAATAGTTAGTACTTTAATTCCTTATTTTCTCGGTCTTACAAATGTTATATTCCGACCAATTTCAATTTCACTATTTATTTACCAAAATAATAATAATATTATAATTAAGTTACATGTAGCATTATGTTAATCTTATAGTTGCTAAAGGTTGGCATAACTTGTTAAGATTAGGGTTAAATACACTTTGCACCCCTGAAGTATAGCTCATGTAACACTTACCCCCTTAAAGTATCATTTGTAACACTTACCCCCCTCAACATCAATTATTTTATATTTTAAAATTTTAAAATAATAAACATAACAATCTAATAATTAACGGTTCATAGAAAATTGAAAAGTAACTAAAATTAATTGTTGAAAAAAAAAATAAAAAGTAATATATATTGAGTACTAATGAATGAAAATATATTTAAAAAAATTAATGAACTAAAATAAATTTAAATACTTAATATTTATATTAATTATGTATTGATTTCTTAAAGTTATAAATCGATAGAGTATTTTTGATTAGTTGGTCCAACAACAATTAGATGTTATTTATTGAATAAGTATCCAATGCAAGATAATATTTTTCAATTTTTAAATATTGTATTTTTCAACAGATATTTTTAGTTGTATAATTTCATTATTCTTTTAGTTATTCCTTTCAATAAAATATTTTTTTAAGCTATTAACATTTAAAATACAAATTAAATTGTGCTTGAGGGGGGTAAGTGTTACAAATGATACTTTAAGGGGGTAAGTGTTACAGAGGGTATACTTTAGGGGTGCAAACTGTATTTCACCCTTAAGATTATACCAATATTGTGATTTGTTGTAGATTACGTATTTTTTAGTGGATTTCAATAAGTTTGTAGTTGTTTGTATATTTGTAGTTCTTTTTGTTATTCTTATACTTGAATTTATAGTGGACCAAATCTTGATGCATGGGTATCTCTATTACTGTCGGCAGAGGCAACGGCATTTTTTGGTGCCCACCATTCCATTTTTTTATAATAAAACAAATAAGTAATTCTATTAGAATTGTTTAAGTCGTAAGACGAAAAAAAAAAAAAAGAATCGTTAAAGTTGTTTTTATTTCTCCTTGTAAAGCATGTTTACAAAAGTTTCATATCCAAAAATATTAATTTAGTGGATTAAATAAATTTGTAGTGGTTTACGTTAAATTTATAGTGAATTATGTTAAATTTGTAGTGGATTACGTTAAATTTATAGTGAATTATGTTAAATTTGTAGTGGATTAACGTTAATTTTATAGTGAATTTCACCAATCTATACTGTATTCGATAAGCGTGTAGTGGATTTCAAATTAATTAACTAGTTGGAAAAAAATTATTTAACAAAAACTGAAAAAACAAAGATATTTTTTTAATTGAAATTAAAAAAACGAAAAAAGTAAAAAAAAAACAAAAAAAAAAAAACCAAAAGAACTGAAAAAATATTCAAAAAAACATTTAAAAAACTAAAATAAAAATAAAACCATTTTTTTTAAGGTAATCAAAAGGAAAAGTGTTTTTTTTTGGGTAAAATTCATTTTAGTCCCTGAGTTTTGCAATCAAAATCAAATTCATCCCTCAGTTTTTCAATTTGTTGAATGTCATCCCTGAATTATAATTTCACCGCCAAAATCAATCATT